GCAAGCAAGCAAGCAACGAACCGAGCGGGAACACAAACACACACGCACAAGAAAGAAAGAACGGCGAACAACCAAACAAGCACAACAACCAACCAACCAACCAACCAACCAACCAACCAACCAACCAACCAACCAACCAACCAACCAACCAACCAACCAACCAACCAACCAACCAACCAACCAACCAACCAACCAACCAACCAACCAACCAACCAACCAACCATTAATCAATCAACCCACCAATCAATCAAACCCAATCCGACCCATCCCAACCCAACCCAGGCCACCCAACCAAACAAACACACACGCACAAAAAAGCAAGCAAGCAAGCAAGCAAGCAAGCGAGCAAGCAAGCAAGCAAGCAAGCAAGCAAGCAAGCAAGCAAGCAAGCAAGCAAGCAAGCAAACACGCAAACAAACCAAAGCAAGAAAGAAAGAATTAAAGAAAGAAAGAAAGAAAGAAAGAAAGAAAGAAAGAAAGAAAGAAAGAAAGAAAGAAAGAAACAAAGAAGCAAATACAAACAGACGTGCAGAAATACAGACATCGATGTACATAAATAAACAAATACACATATACGTATATAAGTACGAAAAAGAAAGAAATACAGAAATACAGAAAGAAAGAAAGAAAGAAAGAAAGAAAGAAAGAAAGAAAGAAAGAAAGAGATAAAGAAAGAAAGAAAGAAAGAAGGAAGCTAAGAAAAGAAGCATAACAAAGAAGTACACCAGCATAGGCCCCAGATAGCATATGACTGATCGAGGATTGCATACTGCTCGTTGGCCACATCATGTCAAAATCAGGGACACTTCTGGGTGTAGAACTGAGAGACTTCCTGGTGTGGAATTGAACTTAAGTGTTTTTGTTTGCTCCAATTGTGTGGACAGCGTGAGCCCTTCTGGCAAAAATGCGCCCCCCGCCAATCTCGCAAAAATGCGCATATCATCACCAGCGTCTGACAGCACCTAAAGCAGCAGCTGCACCAGCACCCCCAAACTGCAGTGCTCTGGAAGCGCCGAAGGAAAACACAAACCGCTGCGGCAGGCCAATGCTGCCACGAAGCTTGCTGGCCGCCCACTTTATAGCCAAGCGGACACCGGACTACTGACAGACAACAACACCAATGCGACATTTGTTGCGTCGCATTGGCTTGCCACAGGTCGGGCGAAGGAATCACCGCCGTCTCCTGCAGCAATGAGGCCGTGTACCCGTGGGTGTCCTTCAGTTCTGCTACAGCAGCTGCGTGAGTCATTGGTCCCACTGTGTGAAAATTGTCTTGGGGGCGCCGAGAACCGTGACACCGAGTCCAGAAGTTGTTGCCGCGGTGCAGCTGGTTTTCGCGTTCACGGTCTCCGCGGGTTGGAGGATGCTGCACATCCTAAGGATTTGGGCACGGTGAAGGTTTGGACCAATCCCGGCAAATCTCACACTTCACCTCCTGGGCGGCCCGAACCAATTCCGGCTGCGCTTCGGCAATTAGAAATGCTCTCGCCAACCGCAGCGGTGCTCGATGACCCGTGTTCTCGCGCAATCGCTGCGCGGCCATCCTCTGTTCGCGCGTCGGCGTGTTCCCGGTCACCTCAATGTCACCCTCCAAGAAGCTAAGTCCACCCGACCCTGAGCTTTCCTACAAACAGCAAATCTCCTCATCACAAATAGCCGCGGCAAACCATAAGAACACAATTACACCACGCTGCGTCCATCCTCTGGGCTGCTGGGTCTGCAACTCGCCATGGCCGGATTCTCCACGGGCATCTCAGCACATGCACAGCAACCTCAGCAACCCAGAATTACCGACATTACGCAACAAAACTCTGCGCTGCTCACATGTGATCTCCCTGGCAACTGCACGATCTCCCATACAATCGAAATAGGTCCTGCTTCAATGAAAAACAACACAGCGGGCCTGGCGTCGCTAATAGACTGCCTTCTCGTCTTCGCCCTCGGCCTGGCTGCATGGCAGCTGAGCTCACGCTCGATAGCCTTAGCAAGCTGTAGCTACGCAACATAAACCTGCATGCCCCCTCAGCACCCGGCCGTCAATTTCGCAGAAATGCGCCCACACCGTCACCAGCACCTCAAACAGCACCTGCAACCTGCATGCCCTCCCTCCACCCTCCCCACCCTACCACCACCCCTCCACCCCACCCCACCCCAAGCCCAACCCCTCAGTCCTCTGTCTCCGGCTTCAGCCTCACCACCAGCTCGTGGGAACTGCCGTGCTTGGCCTTGATCTGCTGCGCCGTCCCAACCTTGGAGGATGGACCCAAAGACGTGGCTAGGTCCTCCAGTACAGAGCTTAGAATAAGTTGGTACCCGTTTGTTTTTTTGTTGTTTGTTGTTTTTCCGTAGTCTATTGTAGTAGGGGAACCCTCCCCCACAAAAGGGCACTACTGGGGGAGTCGGTTTCTGGAGTGCTTTCTTGGGTGCAAACCGAAAGGAGACACCAAGGTCATGCTGAAAGTCCGCCTTTGTCGATGCCCCCTATTCAAATCCGCCTGTTTTGGATGGTTTGAGTGGAACCCAAGCAAAACCAACCTCCCTAATTGCTTGCTACCCTTCAAATTCATCTAAGGGTCCTCAAACACCAGCCTCAACAGTGGAGGATGGGTGTGCGACTTTTGTGTCGCAAGGGTACCCTGCATGTTTAGCTTGGTTAAAAGGCAAACCAAAGGAACAACCCCAAAGTTGGCCCAAATGAGAGCATGTTATTGTTGGAGGGTACCCCGTTTAGTTTGGATTGAAATGCAAACCAAAACCAAAATGGGTCCAACCCCCTATGTAAACACAGACCCTGATAGGATCTGGCTGGAGTTCTCACGGAACCTGACTGGGACCATGTTCCGACTTGGGCCAAACCCCAAGCGGCCAGCCCCTGCCCAGGTCGACTTGCTTGACAAGCAACAGGAAGAACACCCGCGAAGGCCTGCAAGGTCGAAAGGTGATTAAGTCCAATGAATCAAGCCTTGCACCGCGAAACCATGTTGGTTTCTTGTTGGTTCCCCCCTCAACCCCAACAAGATTACCTATGCTTCGCCTTTAAACATCACCCCTTTTCTGGGGGAAACTCACCTTAGACTTTCCAAGAAAGCGATGTGTGAAGCCCACCGAAAATAGGACAAATGTAGGGACCTCTGCCCAACCCACAGATCTCCGCTGCTTCCGAATCTTCCGAGCAAGGCCCCCTGCCGTCAGCAGCTGACCATCAGCCATGATCCCCAGGCGATTGGAGAGCGCCTATCGTTTCCGACGGACTCAAGGGAATCCTTTTGGAACCACCAAACACAGACCGGGGGTTAAAAACACGAGGTAAGGTCGGCTTTAAGGACAACTGAGTGTATATATAGAAAATCAATATAGGCTTGTCTCAAAACAGGGGAACCTCCAAAACGCCAACGGTCTCCTATTGACTTTCCTTTGAACGAACCCAGGAAGGGTACCCGTCAAACAAGATAATATATCTGCGTACCCCTAAACTTCCATGGCAGTGGCCACGGGACAACAAGGGCACCGGATCTTAAAGGAGAAACTCTACAGACAAATATGGAAAACTCCATGCCGCCTGGATCCTTGGGCCACAAAAAAGGCGCACACTGAAACATACACAGGTCTCTCTTTTATACAGTTGATGGCCAAAAAACCCTCGCCGCAAAAGCTGACTTTTTGGGAAGTTAGTGGGAAAATCAATGTTCCCCATTGTGGACAAAAAGTACAAGTCATCAACCGAAAGCAAGCGCTCCTAAAGCGGCATCATGACTCACTTCGCAACCCCCGCAGTTGCGTCGTTCTAGTTTGGTCAGATATGTAGTCTACCCTAAAGTACCAAATATGGGCTTGTCTGAGTCTTTGAACCCCTTGGCAAATGTTAAAAAAAAACAAAAAAAAAAAAAACAAAAAACAAAAAACGAATGGCCTGGCCACCATTTGCCTAGGCCCCTGCAAGAAAAAGGCCAATAGCGATGGATTCCTTTTGCAATCAGAAGGGGAAAAGAAAGGTGGCTCAAATTCAAGAGCAGCCAAATAGAATGCTGGGAATGCCCTAACAAAAACTTGCTGGTGCTCAGCAGAGAACGAGGGAATGAACCTGGGGATTCCCTTAAAGGAAGCCACCAATAGATTTATGGGGGTCGTTCCAATTCTCATTCCCTGCATCTCTCGCACCGATCGCAAGTTCTCGTAATCAACTAAACATAGTCGACTTGACCGGGCCACTGCTTGCGGTCCAGCTCCCTCCCCTTGTCCCCTGCATCTCTCGCAGCGATCTCAAGCCAAAAAGTACAGTGCTGAAAAGCGAAGGAACCATTCTCATTCCACATTCTCATTCCCAGCAAGAAAAAACGGAGCGCGGAGGAGTGCCGTTGATGCGGAGGGCGGACCGTGCGCGCCTCCGCCTCCTCCATGGAGTGTGTGGTCAGCAGCACTGCAGACGGAGCCCTGGCGATCCCATCGGATGGAGCGAGGCACGTGGGGAAGCCGAAAACCGGATGGGGCATAGGTCATGTCAGCATTTCAAACCTAAATTGCAACAGGGCCATGTTCAAGCGCTAGTGCCTCAATTTCAAAGGCTTTTTTGGAGCTCAAGTGGCGGATTCAATGGAAAAGACCAACGTAGTGACGCCCGATGGGGTGATGTGGTCTCACTCCCTAAGATTTGGCCAAAAAGTCTGAAGTGATTACTCTGTGTCGCCCTGAAACAAACAAATCCTTTGTCTTTTCATCATACCTCGTTTTACCACCATGTAAGCTCGCCCTAACCAGCGCAGGCTCATCAGATGCAGGTGTGCTGGGTAATTTGGTCCCCCAATTGAGTGAACAGAAAAATGAAGTACAAATGTAAAATGCAAATGCATCCTTAGTCTACCCTAGTTTTCAGCTGGCTCAGGGACACCCAAAAGAAAAGCCACCAATTGGGGGGGCTGGGGAAAGGACTCCTCCTTGGACCCCCTCACACGCTCGCTTGCCAAAGTCTTCTTTTTCCCACAGACTCAGCGCTCTCACAGAGCTCACTCCGAGCTGGCGCGGGCTTTGCGCTTCTTGTCGTCCTGCGCGCGCAACTCGTTTTGGGGTCCTCCTTTTGTTTTGGCTCGTCTTAGAGAAGGACAGGCTGTTTGGGGACCTCCAATCTTGAGACAAGCCCATGTGTTTAAATGTTTTCCTCTACGCCCCAAACCAGTACCTCCGAGGGAAAATGAGGGAATGGCTATAAACTGTAATATGTACGCAATTTACCCCTGGAGTAGGTTGGGGGTACTGGAAACCGCTTAAGACACCCCAGCGTAAATTGATGCCAGCCTCGTCTTTCCACAACAAACATTGTGTACCCCTGGTGAGACGGCGTTTCGCACACGTTTGAAGGAAAGTAGCTTGATTGGGAACCTGTGACAATAGCTACTCTGTAGTGCCAGCAGCAAGCACACCACCATCAGGAGCCTAAGGTGATCATTGTGAATATTTAGCCTGCACCTTCAATTCACACTGGAGTTAGGTGGACATGAAACTCATTCTCACTGCAATAATTGAGTACATATACGGGTGTCCCCGAAAGCCGAACAACCGCAAGATATTGAGAACATAAAGGACGATCAAGAATGCAGGTGGCCAACTGCAGAGTGCGCTGTAGAAGGCCAGAGCATGTGCACCTGGCGGACCGAACACTTACCGAAGTAAAGCACTGCATAGCTTCACCCGGGACGCTGAGAAAAAGATGGGTCCTTCTTGATGTTTCTCTTGGTATGCAGGATGAGAGCCAATGGCCATGTGATGCCATGTGAGTTGCGGGTGGAAGATCGAAATTTGGGACACTCTTGACACTTTTTCACAAACCGTCACCAGACCCCAAATCAACTAAACTGGCAAAGTCCATATGTCGCGGCCCAACAAGAAACCCCCAGATTGCGCGCCAAAACCCGTTGCAAGGGGGTTCCGCTCTCTGAGCAACTGACACCAGGCCCCCGCGAAAGGGGTCCGGCGCGCCCGCCCAATCCCTGCGCCGCGTCCTTCTTCTTGCGACCTGAGCAAGGCCAACGAGGCTAGGTAAGATTACTCAGTCCCAGAATCTGGGATGGCAGTGGCTCAAAAGAGCTGTACCAGAACGGCACCTTGGTAAATCGAACCAAAGGCTAAATTCTGCGTAACCCTAGCTCTTCATTTTGAGCCACACCCAGATCACGGGCTGGGTCTCAAAAGGTCAGGGCTGTCTGGAAGCTGCCGGAGTTAAAATCGTGACACTGGGGACTCTGGCCAATAGGACATGGGTATGTGACGTGCCAAAATATGCGACCCCAAAAAGGGTTTTCTTTTGCGTTCCCCTGTTAACGAGGGTGAACAGGCCAACATCAAACCAACACCCACCCACCCCTTGTATGAGCAGCCCTTTCATTTAACTTTGGTCTTTAGAAATTCACTCATGCATTTTCTCCCCCAAGACCAATGATGTATCTCTCAAAGAAGGGGTGGCCTAGCAACTGACCTGGCGGTTGACCCCTGCACAAAGTAACAAGTTTAGGAGTGGGAGCTGCATACTCTAGCTAGTACTGTTCTGCAAGGGTAATCTCTGGTAATAACCCCCCCCACTTCCCCACTCAAAAGAACGAGTGTCGAGATCTCGGAAGGACTAGAACTCTCTCATTGAGAAGTTCAAGCATGGCTGAAAAGAACCAACCGTTGGTTGTAACATACCTGGGTTGAACATGGGAAAGCCTGTGGCAGGAATGTTGCTGCCCATACCACAAAAAGGGCTCCCTTGGAATCAACAATCACTGAATGAGAACATTGGGCAAGTCGCCCTCCACCGGGGACTCCCAAACTAAGGTTGAGCATAGCCGGGGGGAATCTGGGTTCCCTTGCGCACCCGTGTTCGCCAAACGTCTGGTGACCCTGGAGTTTGATCGCCAAACGTCTGGTCAATCTGAGCTTTCTACGCGGCTCCGAGCTGTCGTCCCTCTTCTTCTTCACCTGACGAGTTCAGCGGAAATGCCCCTCTTGCCCCCTGGGATCTCATATGGCTATGACTTTTACCAGGGGACCCTTTGGTGGACATCATTTAGGTGGGGATTCATGTCCACCAATCACTTTTGAGGTGGTTCCCTATTAAAAATTCATGGCCATACTTGTCTCATTGGGATTCCCAGGTAGGGGGCTCAAGAAACAATCAAACACACATCCGTCGACTCTTAGCTTCCTTTCGAGGAAAATAGTCATTTGAGCTGCTTCGCACCAGTTCGGAAATTTGGAGGAAACCTTTCCCTGGCGAAGCTACTCGGTTTGCACCTCTGCACCTCTGCCGCTCAAGGTAACATACCGTTCTTGCGCCAGTGACGCATGGCATCTTTGCACTGTGTGTGTGTGTCTATTGGTGTGTTTGCCGATTGCACCCGCGGGGAAATGACCTAAAATGGCAGAAACACAACCAGGCACAGCTCATCGGATTTACCTTCTGACCCCCTCTGTGGTTAACCATGACCCAACGCAGCTTGTTTGCCAAAGGCAGGGCACCAAGGGTGTCCAAGGCTGCGACAACCAACCATCTTCACCTTCGTTGGGGGTAGCTTTCCCGAAAAGCAACCCGAAAATGGGCACCCTCAAGACAGGACAGGACGGATTGGCTCGGCGCGATTCTCCTGGCCTTCCTCCTCTTGCCGCTATCTGGGCGGAGCAAGCAAACGAAGAAGGCAGCTTTTGATGGGCTCTCCAAATGGTCAGCCCCCCCAGAGCTTGGATTCTCTGTTCTATTTCAAGACAAGCAGCAAACAAAGGCACCCACAGAAACTCCTTCCTGTGTCATGGCATTTGCATCCCTCTTTCACACGGGATGGCTTTGTCACAGTATGGACCTCCAGGTTAATTCAAAGTTGAAGCACTCAGTTCACGGGGACACTCGCTCAACCTGCGTTATCCTATCATGTGATAAAAGTGATTTAAAGCACGCCCCCTCTACATTAAGGAACAAACGGGCACTGCTGTAGTCTAGAACCTTGCCTTGGCCAAAAAAGGTTGAGCCAATAGGAACCGGTTTTGGGGGCTGCTCAATTCCACTTCTGGGTGCCTAGTGTATGTTCAATCCCCTCCTTTTGATTCTAACATAGACCCTCCCAAACCCAGGAAATTCCTTTTTCGGGATGATTTGCGGGTTTCTCTTCTTCGTCCTTGTCTACCTAGCTTTTGCCCCGCCAAACATGATACTATGTTTGATTCTGGTCCCTATTCAGTGAGCCCAAAATCCAAAAACAACTCAAGGACCCCTGTGCATGGTGAGTCCTTACCAGGACCTGTTGATCAGCTCCGACTTCGCAAGCTTGACACGTAGGGCAAATCCCTCATACATTTCGCATGTACTGATACCAGTAGCCCGATTATCCGAGCACAGGAATGCTATACGGCGCCATTCAAAAAAAACGCAACGCTCAGACTTGAAAATCAACTCTGGCGTGCACACGTCTGCGTACTCGTGCGCCGCCACGACCCTTTCAAGCCACATGTCGATGTCTGAGGAAACGAAGCCCGGGCCTAACCAGCAGGCCTAACCAGCAGGAACCCACCCACACAGACATTTAGCCGAAAGTCCCATTGTGGCATGGAGCGCTGCAAGAATCCCAGCGCGCATTGAGACGCAGGAAAGAGTAAAGGACCGGAAACGAAATCTAGGTGTCAAATGTGGACCTGGAAGGAAGCAGAACTATATGGGTGCGTCTTCTTTTGAGGGTACCCCTTTGTTGTGGTTGTAAATGAAAACCACACGGACAACCTCTTTTTTTTGCGGGGTCCCCTAAAAAAAGAGGACACACCCAATATCTTGCTAAGCCCCTCCAAGGCCACACGACCTTGGCAAAATCGGCGGCGTCCCGTCGAGGGGAGTGACCCAAAGTCTGGACCTGTTTTCTTCACGGAACTGGGCTGCCTGCTTCGAACCGAGACAAACTCTCTTCTGTAGGAGCTACTCCTCAGATCCCCTGCTAAAAGTAACTAACTCTTAGCGAGTTGAATGGAAACTACCACTAGACCAACTAAAAAGATCTAAAAGGCTAAGGAGCCGGATGGCTGGGAGCCACCGAGGAAACATTGGTTCAACCCCAAACAAGTGAAAGTCCAGAAACCCAGGCACTGAGGACGCGCAAGCCAGTTCTTTGGGTGCCCGGCCGGAGTCCTCGGAGCCCTGGACTCACTTCCGCCCAAAAGCAACCAGACTTCAGATATGGATGTGTCTCCTTTTATGGATGGTACCACTATGGTGGATGTCCTTGTGGTTTCCCGGTAAAACCACAAAAACAACGGGTAGCCTCAAGAAAGACACACTCATATGTCGACAGGTGAAATGAAAACAGTGCCGGGCTGTAGTAAGATCCCCATGGCTTTCTTTGCTTTGGGATTCCTTGGGTGTCAGAAAAGGCCCTGCAACCGAACTTTGCCCATGGAACACATGGAGCACCGTGATACCAAACAAGTCTTCTTAGTCCTAGATGCGTATGAAAGAAGCTACACGCCCCTCTCATCGTCAAAGGGGTAAAGCAGAAACATTGCGAAGGGGGTTGGCAATCAGCGCACGGGGTCCGAACAGGGGGTATTGCGTCAATGTAACCCGAAAGACGACAACCAAATTACTGTCCTGTCCACTGCATGGAACATATGCTGCAATCAAAAAAGCCCGGGCAGCATCTCCAACAGAAACTTGAGCCTTAGGACCTAAAGGGAACCCGGAGGTCCCTGGACTTTGCCAAGTGCCCTTGTTGCGAGTTGAGCAATGACTCCCCTAAGCTGCATAGGTGGACCTGCTCAGTTCAAAAATGGAAACAACTTGGGCATGAGACGCCTTCGTTCACTTTTCTGCGGTTCCACTGAGATCAACCTAAAAAAAAACTCTCGCTTGCTTTCTGCTCCCCTGCCAAGAGTTGTTTAACTTTTGGCGGTCTCATACGGAAAACCGTTTCATTCGTCGGATCAAACAGTTCTTCAGTCCCAACATCCGGCCAAATGCGGGCTGGATGAACTGGGATCAACAAGCTGAAGCTTCCATTTGCCTCTGCCCCCCCGGGAAAAAAACATGAAAACCGCATACAGTGATAGATTCCCTTTAAAACCAAGGGGAAAAAGCAAAAAACATATGGATGTCAGCAACTGGAAGTAACTGCTGGGCTTTCTGGCGGGTCTGCCTCGGAAGGGCAGACCCGATCCCCGCCTTCTTGGCCTTCTTGCCCTTCTTGGTCCGGGCTTCAAACTCCTCTGAGCTCATGTCCGAGAAGTTCTGGGGCTCATTTGCCTGCCAATGGCTCCCCAGCGCGTTTCAATTGTGTCTCCGGTGGACATAGAAACCTGGAGATTTTCCACAGAACAAAGAACAAGTTGATGTCCTGAAGTTCCTGCTGGTTTCTTAGAATTCTAATTTGGGCTCTAGCCAACATGGTCATGAAGGCTTAACCTTCATTACACCAGGTAATGAATAGCACAACCATAAAACCTGGGCCCTCTGTTCGGGCCTTTCAGCCACACCTTGTGCCGCCACCGCTGGCCTAGACTGAAGAGATCTCTACCCAAAGGATGCAACATCAGGTCACCTGGCTGAATCGACCGAATTGATCCACCGGAGTTTGGGCCATGCTGCGTATCCTGTCACTTTCACAGGGCTCAAATGAATTCTTTTGTGGCCAATCCCGAGCTCCATGTTGCTGGGTATTCCAGAGCCGCTAAGGGTTTAGTGTGCTTCGGATGTGGATGTTCCAGAAACGCGCCTATCACGGTACCCCGCTCTTGCAAGCCTCTGAGTTGGTTTTGACCAGTTTCCTCTGCCAGGTAAGGCTCTCATAAGGGAGGTATCTGCCGAACACCCTAAAATGTCTAAACCAATGGGCCAAGTCTAGAAAGTCTGTTCATCATGGGGAGACACCTTCACCCTATCTACACTGGTAGGTTGACAAAACAAGGGGCCCCCTTTGTCAATCCTAGAGGGTCACAGCTTTTGCAATATAGTGGCGCTTGTTTACTCAAGTCAGAATCAACACTCGGGTGGGAGGCAGGTGCTTCTGGAGGGTCTGGAAGCAATGCAGGTCCTAGAAGTATTGCCCTGGAAGACAAGTTCCACTGGCAGGACCCTCTTTCAGATTCGTCTTTTGCGGGTTTTTCTCATGGACCTCTGGCTCACTTATCCAGTGAATCCGGAAAAGCTCTAAACAATCGATCACACGATGTTTTTTTCGAACCAAAAGCTTGACTGAGGTGGCAATGGCGGCTGTGCCTTTTTCTTCTTGCCCTTTGGCTTGATGTCGCCTGGCGTCGTTCCCAGGATGTATGTCATTGGGTACCCAGAAGCGGGTGATTCTCCAGGGTGGATGCCTTGAAGATAGTGGTCCGCACCAGTGCATAGGTGGTTTGTCCCCCGTATTCGGATTTGGGCCATCCAGAGCAGGGCAAGTAGAACAAGGGACACCCTGGGTTCGTTTCACGTTTTGCGAGATCTCGGAGCCATCTAGTGGGTGGAGGAATACCCACCAAAACAAGCTCATGAGTTGTGAACAACTGCAGCAGAAGCCCGGACCAACCTCATGGGACTGGTGGTCAACCCCAAACGGACCGCGCCCAAACCTCCAGCCCTGGGAAAGAAACGGTGGCTTGGTTTGGTATGTGCGTTGATTTTAGAGGGAAAACCCTCAGAAAACACGGGAACCTGCGTCACAGAAAGATATAGGAGAAAAAGTAGATGGCACGACTCCCTTTCCGTAAGTAAAGGGGATGACATTGTTGGTCGCAGTCAGCTGGCTTGGGTTGGTGGTTTGGAGGTTTGGGGTAGTTTCCAATTGCCCTCTCCAAGAACCAGGGCTTCACCTCCCCAAGCCAATCCGACCATCAACTAAGGGTTGCCTGACAAAGGGTACCGTGGAAAAATGGAACGCGCACCCCCATGTGCTGGTGGGAATCACAAACAAGGAGGGAGGTGCCCCGAATACTAGGGGGTGCTCTCGCCACAAGTCAAGGAGTCCCTCAAAATGGGACACGGCTGAACAATCAACTGGTTTCCCCAATGCTCGCTATCTCAGAAGATTGAGAAATAAATCAGACACAACCCATGTCTGGTCTGGATTGATTCGGTTCCCAAACCCACCAAACAAAAGAGGGAGGATTCCGCTGAACAGCTGGGCAATCTGGCGACAAGTGCTACTCAAAATTTACTTCGGATTGACCCGGAGGACCATATATATATATATATATGTATATCTCAGCAAGTTTCCTAAAACAAACATCCTGATTGAAAGGAGAACCCCTAATTAGTACAGCACTGCGGATTCATCAAAAGCTTGGGTTGGAAAACAAAACGATTGTCGGTCCCCTTCTGGCTTGCTCTACGGGAAACTTGAAATGTAGGCATATCTAAAAAACCAAAGGGCATGAATCCCTTTGAAAGGGTTCCCACCCCAAAAGTCACCTTGCGACCCCCTGAACATGCAACCGCTTGAAAGGGACCCACTCGAAGGATATGGCTTGGAACTGCCAAGACACGTCACTAAATTGAACAAATTTACACATTGTAAATGAGGCATCCATTGGAACAAAATCCACCCAGTCTATTGGTCATTCACACTTGGTCACTCGGTGTTCAAGGGATTTCTGGCCTCCAAACACAAATTGAACAAAGCAGAGTTCCATTTTTATTAGTTGCTCCAAGGTAGACTCAATTTCAGGGGTGGCTGATTTGCCCAAAAGTGAAACCACTGGGCTTATTCAGTCTACTGTCTCACAAAAAAAACCACCTGGAATGGGCAGGGCAGGCGTGAACGGGGCTTTGGTCCTGCACCCAGTTGGAATGAATAGAAGCCGCTAATCCCAGCACCCCCGCATGATGCTTCCCCACTAAACCCAGGGACACCCCACTATTAATAAACTTGGGTTGATTCATTTGGAGTCAACACTACTTTATGAACCACCCATCCCAGCACCCAACTTGCCTGCTGTTTTTCATCATGTCCAAAATCCCTTTGGTACTGCCCAAACAGCAGCTCTCGGTGAGGGGGTGCTGGAAGTGCTGCATTTTGCACAGTCTACCGCATCAACGTGTCCATGCGCTTGAGCTCTCGCCTGAGTCCACATCCGACCAGTCCTGCGCCTCCTTCTCAGGTGCCTCATTGAGACCCCGAGATTGACCCCGACACACAACCTTGTCACGAGAAAGGTCTACGCCAGCTTTTGCCTCCAACACAAGCACATAGGTGTGTGTGTGTGTGTGTGGCTCTTTGAGGACACAAATCATCAGGTTGATTCAAAGGGAAACCTCCAGGAAAAGCACCATTTTGGAGGGCGTCCCCCTATTTTGACACACACCCACGTTGATTGCGGTCAATATTTTAGTGGACCTCAAAATGCAACATGATTCAAGAGAAATCCCAAAGGTCCGATTGAAGGATGTCGGCCATACGGCAGGTATCTGCAAAAGAACAAGACAGCAATTGCGCCTCCCTTGCAGTCAAACAATGCCACCAAATATGATGTACCCATATTGGACAAGCCAAAATTAGAATGATCCCCTGTTTGTTGGGCAAATGTTGAGAGTAAGCCCCCATGTCCGTAACCCGAAATCAACTTTGACTTGGAGGCAGCCGTTCTTCGCAATGCCGATCACAGAACCCCTGTGTGCCAGGGACAAAATTACTTGTTGCAGACAGAGGATACTGGCAGTTGTTCGAAATCGCCTCCCCTACATCCCCCCCAAACCAACAATTGACCACCAGTATGGCCAGCTCATGTGACTTCCGCAAAACTTGCTCACCAGGACACATGCTCCTCCCTTCTAACGGACATGCAGAACTCCAACCCATCCAAGCCTCCCCCCTTTTCACCCAAGTCCAATCGAGGAGCCGGAAATGCCTGGCATGTCACAAGTGCCCGGGCATTGCACTGGCTTCTACTTTGGAACCGAACACATCTGAGTCAATCTAGAGGACACTGGCCAAACCTGCTCAAAACACAGGCTGGTGCTGGCTTCCGGTTGACATTCCTTTCTTTGACATGTCTCGCAGAGCTGGGAGAAATACAGGGTTTCACGCACCAAACCGTGCTGTTAACTGACAAACCCAGTTCAACTTTCAAGGTAGGGGTGTTGGAGGTATGCAGACCTTATCCAACCGCAAACACGTAGTACCTAAGGTCATCCAACATCTATCCCTGAACAACCTGTGAGATCTCCAGCCCCAAAGCTCCGATCTTTCTGAAGGGTGACACATTCTTTAGGGATCCCCTGGGTGAAGGAAACTGCCCCAATACAAACACATCACCATACATCACCCAGCCACCCAGCCTTCCTTTTCGCCTTCTTCTTGTCACCTGGGCGTGTCCATCAAGTCCAAGTGCCTTCCAGAGTCCCTTCTTGTTTCTCAGAACTGTGTATTTCACCTGAGTGGCTGGGCGAAAACAAGCACAGGCCTTCTGTGCCACCAAATTGGCCTTCCCAAAACATAGAGCGGACAAACACACATAGGGGTTAGATATTGTTTTTCCTTTTTCCAATGAAACTCAGCGCAGTTAGCTCTCTGCGGTCGGGAGCTAGGGCAGCGATGTTCAGCTACTGCCGAGGACTCTTCCGTTGCCCAAAGCTCGGACACACTGATATCAGATCAAAGTTGCGCAATACAATCATTTGTCTAGCTAGAATAAACCGTACAACTACTGGGATAAGCCACCTGCCAACTAGTGCTGGGTTTGATCCATCCAGTATGAGCATTAGAATTTGCTCCATCAAACAACCGGCGGAAAAACGAGCATGCCCAAAAGGTCCTCTAAACAGGGTTCCCTATACAGCCTATACAGTATGTCTCGCCTCAAAACGTCAGGCCTGCCAAAGGAAACTCACCTTTACAGAGGCCCAAAAGGTGATGCTTACAACCAGGAAAAAGAAAGCGGGGCCCTACAAAAGAGGGGAACCTGCATAATCTTCCAGTGCATGAGCATACACCCAGGTTCAATGGTGGACGATGAGCCGACTACGTGCCTGGGACAAGTCGTGAAACGTCCTCGAGAGGCCTCGAGAGGCTTTGCCTCTGGGTGAGACGTCATCTAGTCATCTGAGCCACGGTCAATACCTTTCTCGCAGAGCCTCCAGGGTGTTTTTCCCCAAAATGCAACACATACAATCTGAGTCAGGGGGTGGTATCGTCATTTCGGGTTGTAGATTTAGGCTATATAGTATGGTCTTGCTTCTTGAGTGGATTGGCCGTAATCTCGAACTTGCTGATTGCCACTAACATGGGCCAGCCATAACAAGTCTCAAGTCCAAAACTCACAATTGCGTGCCCCGGTGACTTGAGTCACCTTGGGGGTTCGTGTTGCTAATGTCAGCCCCTGGACAACAGCAGATTGCGGAAAATACAACGACCGCTGCTCAGCGCAAGCCGTTTGGCTGGAGGTCCCGGAAAGCCCCCCCTGGGCACCGAACTGCAGCCTCGATCTTGCTTCAGGCCCGTAGCCGTAGCTTGGACTCAGAATAATGCCCCAGGGCGGGTGGTTTTCTTCGAGACTCAGTCCCCTTTCACGACCTTCCCCCCCCTCCCTTCCCCCCCGCCCCGATTTCTGGGATATAATGCAGCCCGACTTTTGGCGATCCAGGACCTGTTCAGGGCCTTTCAACTCAGGGCTGCTCGGGCTCAATCTCCTCCTCTGGCGGAGCTTCTTCTCGCCAGGCCTCCGCTGGCACCTCCTCTCCCTCCGGCCTGACGACTCGATTCACTTCCACGGTTCCCCCCACTCAGGCCCTGATTTCAGGCTATCATACTAACCCCCACCAAAAAAACTAGGCGAGCACCGAGGTTTCAACATACAACCTTAAAACAAAGAGGTAGTTGGAGTAGAAATTTGTCAATCCCTCTGATTCGATCATCTTTCTCAGCCAGATGTCGACCCCCTGCAAAAGGTCTCGACTTGTTCCTAGTTGAATGCCAAACTGCTCTAGGGGCAACTTCCCATTCTGCGCAGGGATCCTTCTTTCCGGAAGACCGCGCAAAACCAAGGGGAAAACAGCTGTTGAGTGTAAGAACAATGGTTCAACATGATTGTGAAGGGTATGTCTATGTAAGTGCGAACATACATAACTCCCCCAAGATTGGATATTTCCCTTTTCATCTTCTCCAACCATGCTGAAAAGGTTACCCTCAAACCAACACACCCAAATGAAGGCAAACAACATCAAACAACAGTTCTGCTAAGTCAGGCAGTGTGGCTGCACTTCCTCCTCCGCTTCCACACTCTCGGGTGGGCCTCACAGCATGGAATCTCACGGGGCTATGCTTGTATCATGGGCTTCCGTGGACGGCATTCATCGTGGGGACGTGTGTCCAACCATTTGAAGGGTGTTGCCGTGAAACAAATACCATTTTTGTACTCTAGAATAGGGAACATGTTGCCGTATACAGTCGTATCGGAAGGAAAGGAGCTCTCAATATGCTTGGTTTCAGTCGGCTTCCTGCCAAGTTTGACCCTTTTTCAGCTTGAATGTCTGCCTCCGAAGAGGGAGGTGGTGGCTTTTCTATTAGGGAAGCTCCTTAGAACCCCTTTCAAAAGGAAAGTGGCTCTCTCATCGATGTTTCGTGCGTCTGCCATTTCCATGAGTCCCCCCCCCCCCCGAATCGAAGCAATCGTCGACTTTCCACCTTTGTCTTTCTAAGATGGGTTCCCTCCATTTGCTGAATTCCCCAAAGTGCACATATTTCCTGCACTGATAGAATCCCTTTAACACCAACAGGTTTTTCTGTTAAAAGAAAGATCTTAAGCAAATGGAAGCTTCCACTGAGAAAAGGGGTACAAAGCCCTTGCATATCCAATTGTACTCGTGAGGGTGGGGGCAAAAACCGTAGATATGGGTTCATTCCATGATGATCTGTGGGGGTTTGTCAGTAATTAGGGTATTGGGCTGCTACCATGGATGGACAAAAGCCTGCACCCGTTGATAGGTGATTCATCTCGGTATTTATGGGGGTCTCATCTACCCGAACTGGTGGGGAAAACCGAGCTGAATCTATTGTTTGCGACAGGACAGCGAAATGGATTGTGTCGTTCCACAGTATGTCCCACTCAGACTCACCTATCTGGGCACGGATCCGATGATCCGACGCCGGCCCAACAGGGGAGGAAAAAGCTAACATGCAGAAACTCGCCCTTCTGACCTGGCACGGGTCTGAGCGAAGTGATCTCCCAACCAGACCAGCAAAGCGGCGTGTAACGCTTGCAAGGTGGCACACAAAACCCGGCGTGTCCAAAAAATGATTCGCCATTCCGTTTAGGATGAACCATCGCTCGCCGCTATGGTCTTACTAAGGCCTCAAGTCCAGGAACTCGGAAGTGAGAGGATCACCAGCCCAGTGGATCCCAGGTAACCGGATCGCCAGTGTCCCGTGGCACGACTCACGGAGAAATGGGTTGAAGTCTGCCATAAACTTGAGGCATGGGTGGCACCCGTTTTGAGGTTGGTTGAAAGGGAAACCAAAAGGAACGGAACGCTACCATTTGGCAATTTGGGGGTACCCATAAAGAAGACACACCGATTTGGATTGAAAGTAGGGTACATGCCCAGTCTAATTCAATATTCATTTATTGTTGTTTATATACTGATCCCTGCAAGTGTTCCCTATGTTTTTATGGGTATCCCGTCCCGATGACTTGACGACTCAAGGCAGAACGCTGGATTTAGGCCCTTAACTCTCATCACCCTTGCCTTTTCACCCGTGTTGAAGGGGTCAAAAGCGGAATCCAGGTAATAATTCTTGACCCCGGATCAATCAACCGGTTCTATCAATACGGTGGTGTGCTTCTCCAAGAGTGGTCTGAATCCCAACTCAAAGGGGGACACCCCCATCTCTCAAAATCAACCTGGGGTTCGGCTTCCGGTGTCAACATGTCTCTCTGATCCGATCCGATTTGCCCAAGAGGTCCCTGTCTTCCAAGGTCCGAGGGTTGATCACACGATTTTTTGAGAATCAAAGGGGACAAGGGAAGGGAGCTGGACCGCAAGCAATGGCCCCGTCAAGTCGACTATGTTTGGTTGATTACCAGAACCATCTGGTGCGAAATCGGCAGGGGATGAGAAATGGAATGACCCCGAATAAGAGCCATCCAACTGGTGGTGTCCGTTGTTCGGGAGTCCCCTTCCGGTTCATTAATGACCCTTGTAAACCATCCAACTGGAGGTTTCCTGTAAGGTTCATTCCAGTTCTCACCGCCTACCGATTTCGCAGCGGCGAAAGAACGGCCCGCAGTCCCGATCTTCCGCGCCTTCTTCCTCGATCCGGGGCCGGAGGTCCACGGCGCTGGCGCTCTTCTGAGTTGCGCTTGACGCGTACGGCACGGGAGGTGGATGAACCCCATGGGGATTTCGGAGGTCCTTTACAAGCCAATATGAAGTTGTCCATTTGTTTGAGGTACTCACATTGGGCTTTTTGTTCAAGGGAAACCAACAGGAACGCGCACCTTCTGAGGGTGACTCTCGAACAAGACAAGCCCATATCATAGACAAACCCACAGTGACTCTTGTCTTCTCGTGGGTGCCCTTTTTAAGGTTGGTTCAACGGAAAACAAAAAGACAACATCATTCTGTTGGGTCCCCTCTCTGTTGACACAAAAAGCGTCACACAAACCCGAATCTGTGTCACGGTTGAGTCCGAATCTGTGGGTTGTGGCGGATTGGGCGTGCTTGCTTTCGACCAAAGCGCTGGGATTCCAGCTGAAAAGCCTAGGTCTTGGGTTCTCCGAGGCGAAGTCAGGAGTGTGTGTCCGCAAAAAAGAGGCTTCCCTCAATGGGACACGGCATGAGTCAACCGAGCAATTACATCCTGGGTCTCCATTGAGTCACAGGCAAACCTTACAATTGGACTAACATCCATGGAGTTTAGTGGAGTTCAAAGGTTCACCATTCAATCCGGAAATTTCAGTCACGGACAAAATCCCAAGTCCTCGCACAAAAAGTCAAGGAACTTTGGGCTATGGCCATATCCCAGTCCAACGGCTTTTGAAAGCACCGGTTCTGCCCAAGGAAACCACAAGGGATGGGATTCAACAGGGATCCGGATGCATGAAAAACACCTGAACATGGCAACTTGGAAATGGTGGTTTCCCTTTGTTTGGTGTTGAAAAAGCAACATGTTTCAAATGGTTGCAAAATGGAGATCTTTTAAGGAGCCCTGTTCAAGGGAGTCATTTTGTCGTTTACTGCGAACCATCAAGCCGTCAATGGTTCACTAAGGTATAGTTCAACCCAGGGGTCGCAGGTTTCCCCAACCTGAGCACCTTTGGGTATAAGTCTACCTTGGGTTTGTCCTAATGATGAACCCCGAAACCCC